TTTGTACACATATTATATGCTTAATCCCTGCAATTGTGTATTATATACGCATAATATTTGTACCCATTTTCCTGATGTAATATTAAATTCATAGCATGACTACAAATTACAGTTGAAAGTAATACTTTAATAAATAAAGTTATTCAATCCATACATGTGTTTGCATAGTGACCAAATTGTCTACATTTTCCACATTTACGACCTTTTATGTTAGAATTTTCACCACCTTCGCATATTTTTCAAACAAATTTTTAATCATTTGTGATGCATCAAAATCACAAGGGTTATTTTGTTGACGAATATATAGACAGCATTGTAAAGTTCGCGTTTATTAATGGTGTTTTGTGGATAATCGTTAATTAGCAATGGATATATTGAAGCCGAATCCATCCTTCCTTTAACTACATATTTTTTGATATCTTTTAACATGGAAGAAGTAAGTTTCTGAAATTGGGGTACCATTTCACCTATCATTGTGTTCAAAGAATGATTGTGTGCATTTACAAAGGAATCAATTTTTATTAGATTACTTGACTTTGGAAAAGAAAGATTAATATGCCATGGACATTCTGTTTTTTGAGAATGGACATTATGATGTTTTGTAGGATCTGTTATAATTTGTGGATTATGTTTGCCTGATTTTGTACATTCATATGTTAACCATGTTACAATACCATCTTCAGATTCGCTTCATCTAATCCTATAACTAAAACCCTCTTGTAATGCAAAATTATCAAAAAATAATTTTGCCTGTTCCCACAAAACAAAAGTAAGTCCTTCTTCCAGATTCAACTTATCAGTAAAATCAAATGAGTGTAAATTTTGTGACATTTTTGTTGTTAAAGGTGAAATTATAAAGAATAAAGTTTATTTTTTTTAATGTCATGTATAAATATGAAAAAAAGTTTATTTTTATGTTAAGTTGCACAAACACATGATCCGGGTATGTTTAAATTTTTTATTTATTTTACTATTTTGCGCTCTCAAAAAAATATATAAATCTTATTATATAAAGGCTATAATTTATTTCATGTACCAGTTTAAATAAAAAATCTACACATTCTGACAGCAATCTAATTCAAGCCCGTTTTTATCATCTCTCAAAAAATCCAAAGCTTTATAATTATTCTTTGCTTCTCTGCCAACTTGAGTAGTTTTAATTAAACATTTTGAATCTTGGTTCTTTCTAACCTCGCAAAAAGATTCCATCAAAAATGGAATCATCAATTATATCAAGTCAATTTTCGCTAAGACATAAAATGTTCAACATTGCAGCTTTTGTCAATTTGGATCCAATTCCAATGAGTTCGTATAATTGGATCATGCAAATAGGAGTATTTAATGGAAAAGCCTTAGAATGCATCCTTGAATTACCAAATAATTAACATCTCTGCAAAAGTCAGTAGCCTATCTCTTTCACATGTTGGGAATAATAAGTTCCAATAAAATTGTTCTCACAGTAATATGAAGATGTTGATTATTTTAGTAACCATCTTTTGCTGGAAATTCCTCTCAATTAAGGGTAGAATGTGGTCACACTGTTTTACATTGTAATCAAAAGAATGGTTTTTTTTAGTGACGATCAATTTTTACAATAAAAAATAACATGGGACATACTGCAACAAAACCGAACATTAGTATTATCAAAGATTTCAGGGATCAAAATTTAGTAATGTGATTATTAAAATTTTCCTCTTGATATGTAGAATTACCTCTATATAAAAATTATTTTCAAGTTCAAAAGTATTAAATCATACTTTTTTACTTTTACCATTAAATTTTTATTTGAATTATTTATATAAGATGTTTAATATCCATTAACTCAATAAATTTAAAATTGTGCACCGTAATATATTTTTATTTCTCTTTTCATTTCTCTCCATGTTGAAGCAATATTTTCATGTGAACGATGTAATTTTTTTGTTCTTCTTAGATATCTACAATTTAAATTTTTTCTAAACATAAAATCTAATAAAACTGTGTATTCACGTGAAGCCCATGGTCCCTGTAATTCTTCAACTATTACTAAATCATCATCTAATAACACTGAATATCTTTCATCTTCATCTTCTAATGGTGTAGCAGGTGTAGTAGTAGATATTAACATAGTAGGTGTAGCAGTAGATATTAGTGTAGTAGGTATAACAGGTGTATTAGTAGATATTAATGTATTAGGTATTTACCATTAAATTTTTATTTGAATTATTTATATAAGATGTTTAATATCCATTAACTCAATAAATTTAAAATTGTGCACCGTAATATATTTTTATTTCTCTTTTCATTTCTCTCCATGTTGAAGCAATATTTTCATGTGAACGATGTAATTTTTTTGTTCTTCTTAGATATCTACAATTTAAATTTTTTCTAAACATAAAATCTAATAAAACTGTGTATTCACGTGAAGCCCATGGTCCCTGTAATTCTTCAACTATTACTAAATCATCATCTAATAACACTGAATATCTTTCATCTTCATCTTCTAATGGTGTAGCAGGTGTAGTAGTAGATATTAACATAGTAGGTGTAGCAGTAGATATTAGTGTAGTAGGTATAACAGGTGTATTAGTAGATATTAATGTATTAGGTATAACAGGTGTATTAGTAGATATTAATGTATTAGGTATAGCAGTAGATGTAGTATGTGTAGCAATAGGTGTAGCAGATGTGGCAGTAGGTGTAGAAGGTGTATCAGTAGATATTAGTGTAGTAGGCGTAGTAGGTGAGTTGGAAGTGATTGTAATTGGAATTTTGTGATTGTTATTATCCTCAACGTCATTCAGTAACTTTTTTTAAAAAAATTTAGATTATGATATGATTGCAATAAATTTTTGTTATTAATGATAAAAAATAGACAATAATGAAATTACCTCATCATATACAGATTTAAATACTTTTAACATATCAAAATGTTTTAATGGTGCCATCGTTTCTTTTATAATATCTTTTATAATTTTTGTTAAATTCTTTAATATCAACACTACTATTATTATAAATAGAAAAAAGCAATATTAATTGATGATTCGCCTATGAATCAGAGAAATGCCAATCAATTTATTATAAAACTAGAGTGATGATAAATAGAAAAAAGCAATATTAATTGATGATTCGCCTATGAATCAGAGAAATGCCAATCAATTTATTATAAAACTAGAGTGATGACGGGTGGCGGGCGATAACCACCACCACCATCCTTAAAACACTTACCCACGATCTTCTGCAATGCCAACATTTTTGGTTCTCTTTGCCGGACGATATGACATTTTAAAAAACAAATTTTAAAAAGAAGTTTGTGATGTGATCGACGCGTACACATTAATTATTTATCCTATTAGTTTTTTTTTTGGTAGGACAGACGCGAATTGTTTTTTTTTTTTTTTTTTTGGGAAAACAATTTATTTTTTGACAGAGTCCCAGGTGACAAAACGTGAGGGGTGTTGTTTGGTTTGGTTTGGTCTCCTAAAGAAGAAGTGTTAATAACTAACCAGAGGTACTATTTTTTATTTGCATTGATATTTTTTATTTTATATAAATATTTTAATTGGAATCAAAATGCAGAGCAGATCTTGCTGAGTAATTACAAGATTTTCATTGATAATATTTTACTTTTCGTAATCAATATTAATAATATTATATTATTATAATCACAAGAAGATATCAAAGCAGCACAATTGAAAAAGAAACAATTCGAGTATGCAACGTTTGATTATCGGAAATTTACAGGCGTTGAAGCATGCACGCTACCTTGAACACTTACAGTCATTCTCTCATCTTCCTCGTGTACATAAGGCTAATCTGACTTGCACCCCCCGAAGATACAATGATGCTACAGAATTCTAGGGGGGGGGGGAGCATGGCCCTGGAATACATCAAGACTGCACCAATCGTCAATGACACTTCCACTAATCTTCCCAGACCAGAGATGGCCGCTGCCATGCTAGCTGAAAAGTTGCCTGCAACAATCCTGCTAGGGAAGGATGGCACTGTGATCAAGTCGCAACTCTGCTGATGAATTGTAGTGCCATGTAAATATCCAGATCTATCAAAGCAACAAGAACCTGCAACTTGTTTCAAGTTCAGGAGGTCACAATTCAGAGCAGGGTTGGTGGCCCTGAAATTGCATTTGGACT